TTCTAATATCTTCATTATATCACTAAACCTCCTGATTTCTTCTCAACACAAGTCGGTTACTCTTTCACTTTCAACCCCAAGAATGTACCTTACTTGCAAAACATCTTCGCCGTTTCTTCGTACATCTTTTTTGCAACTTCTTCAGTGTCCCTTTTTGCTAGCAAACGAGAGAAAAAAGATCCTGAATCCATTACATAGTCGAGTTTTTATTAGTTTCGAAAAAAACAAAAAACCTTTCCTTCCTTGGCAGGTTGCGGCAAGTGTCTGCCTCTTCATCTGCTCGATATTCTTGATTGCCACTCCGCATCCTCTGTCAGTCTTTTTTCCTCCGCCGTGTCCTGACGCCTCCGCCGGGCCGTGAGTGTCGCGGGGCCGCGGGGGCTGCGAAGGCTGCGAAGGCTGCAAACAGCGTGCGTTCACCTGGAGCCGCCCGCCACAGTGAGGCTCTCGCACAGTGGGCCAAACCTAGATTGATTGATTGATTGTTTCCGGCGCGTTCACTGCTGGGGGACATTAGAACCTTAAGTGTCGTGCGTGTTTTTGGCACCGGAAGTGCTTCCTCCTGCTGGATGGTGAAATCCGGCGCCGAGCTACACGTAAACATGCTGGTTTTCTCTCAACCAGGAATCTCCTGCCAGTTGGGCACCGCCCAGCCAGGAGAAGCTTTACGCGGACGACTGGTCTCCCGGCACATGTGATTGTGTAGTGCATGTGTGTGTGTGTGTGTGTGTGTGTGTGTGTGTGTGTGTGTGTGTGTGTGTGTGTGTGTGAGAGAGAGTAGCTAGTATAGGACAAGGTACGGAAAGGAAAGATTGCATTTTCTTAATGTTGATCGGAGAAACCACGGAAAACTATACCGATCAGAGCGGAGGGTCGCTGAAATTGTCCTTCTGACAGCGGCTGAATTCGACTAAGCTACCTAGCTGGAGTCGAAAATCCTGTCATAATCGAGAATGGAACCGTAGGACCTTCCGGATAGAGGCACTGCAGTGACATCAATTGATGCCCTGAGCCGCCTAAGCCGGTGGGATAAACTTAGACCTGCATTTATGAATTTGAACCTAAATTGGGGATAATCAATTTATTTTCGACACATATTGGAGACACAAATACATTTTTGACACATTCATTTTCGAGGTTTCCTCTTCACTCACTCTCTCATCATTCGCCGTTTCCCAGCTACTGCGTACCTGTATCAATCCCTATCCTCCAACACTCACGTTTATGTATTGGGAGGGGAATATGCAATAGTGGACACAGAAGCACACGGAAGTGACCTTCCTAGATAAACAGCCTACATTTTAAAAGGATCGTTTGTTGTGAAAATACATTTTTAAAACAAACAGCAGTGGATAAAACACACATAGCAGAGTATCCTATACCCAATGTATCCCCAACCGAACGTTTCAAAATTCTTGAAGAGACGAAAACAATCAAATAGTTTTTTATTAATGTTCAGAAATACTCTGCAGGAAAAATACATTCATTTCCTCAGGAGGCGTTTCACAGTTGGGGGATCTTTCTTAACTTTTTCCAGGAGGCGAAAAAACAACGAATGTGTCGTCTTAGCAGATTAATGTCTAGCCAAAACAGAAACACACAAAGTTATATGGAGCGCTACCACAAATGTAAAGAACACTCATTTTTACCTCACGGAAAAACTGTCAAGGAAAGCCAAAATTATTTCACCGTATTCGTCTCTTCAAGAAGTTTAGAACTCTGGTGGGGGAAAAAATATACTTCCATTTAAGAAATCAATGTTGTCATGATCTCTAAAATAAAAATGCTTATAGGCAAGAAAACGTATGTTAGTCCTCCATTACTTTGGCGTAACCTGCGTTCCGACACCTCGAATCGTTTCGAAGAAATTTGCTGGGGCCTGCTTTTGTGATGCTCACTGTACGAGGTGCGGTTCTTCCGTCATCCGGCCCAGAGCGCGCGGCCGCCGCCCGAAGACGCGAGCGAGGTGGGCGGGGCGCTGTTATTGTTGATGTTTTGCGTCGCCCACGCGGCTTCGCGCTTGTGCGGGCGAGCGCGGGCGACGGCGGTGGGCGAACTGTCCAGCCCCTCGCACTGTAGATTTCGCCACTCCCCGAAGCACAGCCACTGCTACTTAACATGTAACATCAGTCTGGAAAATGATTGATTGATGTTCCCGTTAGTGTAGTGAATGTGTTATGGCGGAAGACGGCGCTATTCTTCATACCACTGCATGGTGTGATCCGGCGCTGATATGTCGATTTGTTGAGGTTTCCCGCTCCAGGTATCTCCTTCCAGGGCATGGCCCCAACCGGGACAAGCTCTAAGGTTCCGACTGGTTTCTGGCGTATCTGGTAGAGTAGTGCATATAAGAGTGTGTAAGAGGAGAGGAGAGGCCAAAGAAAAGGAAGGAAAGATCGCGCGCGGTTCGGAGCCAGTTTCTTAGAGTATTGCTCCGGTATTCGCTAAGTATTGATCTGAGAAACTACGGGAAAATACTGATCAGATCTGCTGGCCGCTAGAATTCTCCAGGCAGCGACTGAATTCATCCTAGTTAGTACGCATCGATGCATCGGATGTTAGAAACTGAAGTTACAGTGGCCTACTCTAGCCAAGGTTGATGTTCGGTATCGTAACCCACAGGTGTAACAAGGAAGGAGAACGTAGGGGAAGGTAAAAGGATTTCAATTGCTTAAGATATATTTACAGCCAATATACGTATTCTCCGATTTAAATTTATATATTTATCTTTTTAAGATAGCCTTGCTCCCATTAAATCGCAGAATATGTATTGTAGCACTGCTGCTACTCCAGTAATGCAAAGTAAATGCTTCTATGTCCTTGCGTTTTGATACGGAGATGCGTTAAGCCTTCAGCGGCCGCCACTAGTTAACGTCACTTGCGAAAAGGCGAGCTGTGGGGCCGAGACAAACCGTTGACGCTCACGACGCAAACAACGCTGCTGTGCTAGCAAGCGCCAAGCACCCGCTGAGTAATCTCTCAGTCTCGGGACGGGAATCGCCCGACTGCATCTCGCGATCATCCCTCGCCCCCGCTTCCTAACTAATCTCCTTTCACTTTTCGTGACCTGAGAAAGACTTAGCCCAACTGCATTTCGTTTTATTCATCCGGTGTTCCAAAAGGAGTTTTTTTGAAATTTTAGTTAAGTTTGCATTCATAAGTAGCGCCAATCGATGTTCTCGCACCTGACGAGAGAAAACCTCAAACACAGGTGAAAATGACTAGACTCTTCAGAATATTGTATGTTACGTCAGCGGCGCAAGGAGATGCTCGTAATAAGAGGTTTTTTTAGTTTTGTTTCCACAAGCATGTAAGTGTGGTTTTCAACGTTGGCATTGCTCTAAAATTACATGGAAGTGTTGTTATTTATTTTATTTTTTTAACAGGAGTGGATAAATTATTATCGATCAAATACTGCTAAGCACACCTCTGTAAACGTAGAAATGAATCCTTACACTAAAGAGGAAAACGAAACTGGATGCAATTCGGCTTTGCCTTCTCAGGTCACGAAAACTGAAAGGAGATTAGTTAGGAAAAACGGAATGAAATTGTTGGTAGGGGTGGGGGGTAAGCATACGGCTGACATACATTGTCGTTGTCAACGGCAACGGCTGACATATGTTGAACGTTGACGGCGGGACAGTGCACGGCCGGAACCCGCGCCAGTTGTCTTGATTACGGTGACAGCCACCAGCAGGTGCGTCCACTAGAAGTCTGAAGAATCGAAGTTGAGCGGGCACCGGAAGGCGGTTAGGGTAAGCCCCGTCCTGGCACAACCGCAGCCGTGGCGCAGAGCGTGCGCCGGGGGTTAGAGGCATCTGAAGTGCGGGTCGCGTGACCCGTTAGTGCCCGTGCTGTTCTGCCCAGGGCCCTATAACTCCCATATAACGTGCTGGGGACCGTTACAGTGGCGGTCTAGAGTATCACATTTTTACATGAACTAAAATACGAACTGCTACCAACATTGTTTAAAACGTGCGTGGGTTCTCGGGGCGCAAACACACGTGAATGATACAAAAGATCGCGCCGCTGTTCGCGCTACCTATTCTTTCATGCGTGTATTATTATGAATAAATGAATTTTGTAAGGTAAACACAGTATTTTGTAATTTATTTCAGAAATCGCTCATAATCACAGGCTATTCGTATTTCTTGACCAATTTTTTATGTGCGGAAGTTGGTGAGCCTTACCAGCAGCTGTATTCGGCGACACTAGCGCATCTTATAGTTGCAACCTTTAGCTTTGTTCCCAATGTTGATGGAGAGTTGCCGGGCCCTGGTTCTGCCTGCGCTGCCTGGGGGATTTCTCCAGAGTACCTGGTCCACAGTCCAGAGTTTACCTGGCAGATTTCCCTCCAGGAGCGGTCGGTGTAGCCGCATGCAATCGTTCGCTGCGCGATTTTTCTTTGAGTGGTTCACCGCCGTGGCACTTTTGTGAGGCGCACTTGGAATCTCTAGATGCAAATGAATCTAGGACTTAAGGCGAACTATTTTGTGTTAATGGCGGAGGAATATAACAGAAAAAAATATAGGTACTTCAAAAAAATAGGAATTACCGTATCGTCCCGCGCACGTCGAACAGTCATTAGGAATCTAAGGGTAGTTCTTTGTCGGCAATTCAATAAATATTTAAAAATCAAAACCATTATTTGCAAATGGCGGTACATTGGTAAATTCAGTAGTTTTGCCGCTTTACGTTATCTTGTTTCTACGAGAAGATAAAATATGATTCGCGAACCTAACGAACGACTGCTCCTTAGTGACTCATTTCTGAAGAGTAGTATTGCCGTTTCAACTCATTACTCTTCTGATACCCAGTGTTTTCCGAATTTGAATATTTGCGTGGATTTTTCTTTAGATGCTTCTAGAAACTTTCACTTATTGAAGAGGCGATAACTGAGCGTTTTGTTTGCGTTTTCTTGTTTTGTGTTTGTAAAATTCAATTTGTACTTATAAAATATTTGAGATAAATTATAGAAATTTTTGGTCTCTTTGTTACAGGATTCGACCGCAAATAGCCCGCGAAAAGATCGACATGTGCCGAGTGTGCACAACGGTGACCCCAGGCGAGCCTCAAGTAACGCTGGGAACTGACAAGTCATTCACATACGACTATGTATTTGACATGGACTCCACCCAACAGAACGTCTACGATTGTTGTGTGGCTTCCTTGGTGGATGGGTCTTTGCAGGGTTACAACGCTACTATCCTCGCCTACGGTCAGGTAAGGACTCTTGGCTGTACTTGTTCTTGACAAAACTTTTCTGATATTGTTTCTCATTTACAGAAAGAAAAACAATTTGATTATATGTAAATACGTGATCCCTCTTTTTTGGCTCAATGACACATTTAAATAATCACCATTTTTTAAAATATGGTGTGTTTGCGTTATTTATTCTTATACAACGTTTAGACAATTTTATTACATTGTCATCTTCAGACTCGTAAATATATTTAACGTCAAAAACAATTAATAACTGTGTGTGACTTGCACAGAATACACATCTCCCCAATGTGTTTTCTTAAATTCTCGGAACCCTGCCGTAACTCAAATAAAAATTGAATTTTAAATTCAGATGAAATGAGAATTTTTGACAAGAATTGTTACGAAAACGTCACTCCAAACTGATTTCAAAAGCAAATCAGCTATAGATCTTGGCAATTATTCCTCATAGTGCCCTTCGAAAAGGAATCAACTTCCTGCTGTGAAAACATGGAGAACGATAATTTAAATAACTAAATTACCCGCCAAATATAAATATAAAATTATAATTGTCTTTAAAATTGGTTATTAAAACAATAGTCCTATGAGCCTGAAGGTGAATATGTAATAAAATCATCAAAACGATGTATCAATTAAGTAAAAAATGTGAACACGCCATCCTTTTATAAATGTTGATTATATAAATTTGTCTCTGAATCAAAAAATGTATCATATATTTACATATAAAAATAACTTGAAATCTGGTTGGTAGATCATGCCACGTAGAAACTTCATGCAGCTTAATCTTAAATTTCGGGGAACAACTTACTTGAACAAGGGTAATAACTGTGAAAAATGAAGACACGCTTTTTATTCTCATAGTCATTACAGAAAATATAAAAAAAATAAAGCCAACCTTTTTCATTTATGTCAGAGTTTGTTTTGAATTTTGGTATTTCCTTGGCTGAAATGGAATAACACGTCATTAAGGGTTAATTTGGCACAAGGTCTCTTACTGGTCTCAAGAAGGCATATTGTGTACTTAATTTACAAATTCGTTTCAAAACTGATTTTCGCTGCCATTAATTGTTTTCATGATATGTATTGGAAGAAGATTTTGAAATTCGTAGCTCCCGAAACTTTTAATATTTAATCATTTGAAGACACGGACATTTCACATTACATTTTCTTAGTAAAATAACATGGCACTCCGAAAGATGCTTTTAGTTCTGCAAAGCCTCTGCAGTAAATCCAAAACAGGACTGTATTAGGCTGAAAAGTGTGTATTTTTTTTTTCAATTTGGTGCGCCATTTGAAAAAAAACATTCAGCTTTAAAGAGGACGGAAAATATTTCGGTGAATTCACAGCAGAGATAAAGTAGCAAAAGGGACATAACCCCTCTGAAAACGTTCAGAATTTTAAAATAATATTTTGAAAATCTTTCAAAGTGATGTGTGTATTAATTGTAAATTTATTTTAGTAGTCATAACAATTTTTATTATTTTATAAAATTAAAAATCAACATCAACCATTCTGCATAGAAAAAATGGCACTAGTAGAAATATGTAAAATGTAATGTAGCTTTAGAGGTTTTATATTCAAAGAGTTTTTATATTGAAATATTCAGTTGAATTGAGTATATTTGGGAATTGAATATGGTGATTATATTGAAATATTCAGTAAGTAAAGAACAAATTAAATTAACATAAATATTTTTGTTTTAATTCTTAAACTTTTAAACCCTTCCTTACATTTTCTATTGCCGTTCGTGGGCTGCATTTTTTTGGTCCTGCATGATCTGTGCTGGAAATTAGCCCGCCGTTTTCAAGTACTTTCTGAACTTTAGATAATTTATTTTGATTCAAAGTGGCATAATACGCCCAGTGTTAAAGAGGTGTGCAGAAAAACCTTATGACCGATAAAATTTTACGGTTACACTATTCGGGAACACTCCTGCAAGAATAATTCATTATGAAATTAAATACCGTTTTAACAACTACAGTGTCACTTGAGTATTTGTACTGGTTGTATTTTATTTCAATTTAAAACTGTGGTTGAGGTAAAGGTGGTAATACGAGTCATGTATATAATATGAGCCCCCTTATCGAACCCCATCGCAAAAATTCTAGTACGAACGATTTTAACTGCTAGTTTAGTGACTCCTTTTGCCATCATAGCTCTGTGATTTAGTTGAGAATGAGTGCTGATGTGTAACAGAGGTGTTCGTGTTTTCTCGGTTATAAAAACTGTGGATGGTAAGTCTTTGGCCTTTAATTATAGTTTGTGCTCGCTGAGACCGGATCTAATTCCTAACGAATGAAATACAATATGTTTTAACATTGTTTTTATGCCCGCAATCTGTAATTTCGAACGTAACAGAGACCGGGTTTGGTTTGCAGAATTTTAATGACTATGGTGGTTATGAGCCCCAAACTTTAAGGGGCTCATATTACATACACTACAATAAGTGTTCGTACTATTTGTGACGCCACAAGAGGTTCTAGGCCCCAAAAAAAGGAACCACTGGGATATTGATGACACGGACAAGAAAATTCGACGGTCTCGCTAGAAAAGATTTTCGCAGACTAGCGTACCAATTTTGTGAACGAAGTGGAATTAAACTCCTATTTACAGACTATGAATTAGTCAGTAGGGATTGCTTCGACCATTTTATGAATCGCCAGCATATGTTTTAGCCCTGCGTATGTTGTTTCCCTTATTACATGATTTCCTTACCAGGACGCTCTTATGGAGACTGGAGAAAAAACAGATGCTAAAAGATTGTAAAAAAAAATATTAAGACGAAAAGCACAAAGCAGATTGGTACGAAAACCAAAATCTCACATTAACAATGTTTCAACCGGATTCTTCTTGAAGATGAATCAGAAGATTGAGACTACTATCAAATCAGAAGTCTATTTTAGAATTACTAGTAGGAATTGAAAGTCCCTGAGCCCCTGGCCAAAAGCCTTGTTTGTTTTCTGGGGAATTACACTTTCAGCCGACCACCGTGGATAACTACGGGTCAAGGGAATTGTGTGAAATGTGGGCGCACTGAGACTGCTGGGACCAAAAAAGTCATTTACATTTGTGTTTTTTGTAATTTTTTTTATTTTTTATATTTTTGTAGGAAAATAACATTTACATGTGTAGATATGTAATTAGTTCCCTTAAATCGATGTATCGATTAATATATTAAGTGTGCTTATAATACCAGCACACACTTTGTTTTTCAAATGAGACTTCTTTTGAATTATATTTTTTTACCAACGTTTTAAAGAGTTAAAAATCTTCATATTTTGTATTTACTCCACATAAATGTTGATTACTCTACTCATACGTAAGTGTCTTTGGCGTACTCATGGCAAAATCTTGGGCGCACTCATTAGTCATCACATGTGCCATAGATGTATACAGGTCTGTGTATGTTTATATATTGAGTGTATATGCTCGAAAGGATTATTGTAATGTTTTTATATGGTTAATTGTGTTTGATTAAATTTCAGTAATTGTAAAACGTAGGGTTATGGCTACCACCTGGCAATCAGCCAATTGTAGCCTAAATAAATTTATATTATATTATATATTACTTATTATATATTACATATATATATTACTAATTTTATTATATATTACATATTATATATATATATATTATTATATTATATATTAGTATATTAATATTATATATATATATATTATATATTATATATATATATATATTATATATTATTATATATTATATATTATTATATATTATATATTATTATATATTATATATTATATATTATTATATATTATATATTATTATATATTATATAGTCGCCTGGTCCGTTAACCTTTCATTCGTGCGTCAAAGACTCGCTTTGTGTATTCATGACATCAATAACTAGTCGTAACCGATGTGTCCACTCGTTGTTGGCAGACCGGCAGCGGGAAGACGTACTCGATGGGGTCCGGCTTCGACGTGGACCTGCAGCCCGAGCAAGTGGGCATCATCCCGCGCGCCATCGGCCACCTCTTCGAGGGCATCCGCGGCCTCTGCGAGGCGGCGCGCGAGAGCGGCCAGCCGCCGCCCGAGTTCAAAGTGGTGGCGCAGTTCATGGAGCTCTACAACGAGGAGCTCATCGACCTCTTCGACCCGGGCAGAGACTACAAGGTACGCGTGGTGTTGTACATTAAGAAAACAACAGGTCGTAATAACAGTGTCGTTTTATTCCAAAAATCCAAGAGCGTAAACGTAAATCAAAGCCAGTTCGCGGTTTGCCAGTGGATGTCCCTTTGCAAGCACAATAAATCAATCACCAAGAGAATCGTCTTACAGCACCTCTAACGGCCTCACAACACTTGGCACTAACTCGCTCACTGTGCTTACACTCTGCACTATCTCGGAACTGTCTCTGCTCCGGCCTCTCGGGCCGGCCGCTTTATTCCTCCCGAGCCTGTGGAGCGAGCCTCCATTTTTCTCGCGCCGTTTTTCGGCTCAGTGGGCCGCCTCGTCGCCGCTGCCGCCCTGCCACCTGGCGGCGCCTCCCAGCAACTCTCGCTGGTGGGCCCGACGCTCGGTCGGTCAGTGCGCCGCCAGCCACGGTGCGCTGCTGGGCCTTATCTGCTTATATCATCACACGTTGGATCATGTTGTCACTTGGTGGCGTCGAGCGGCTGAGCTGCTGTTGCCACAGCAGAGATTGTGACCAGGGTTCGAGTCCCGAAGGTGGTAGATTTTCGACACTAGCTAAATAGAACGAATTCAGCCACCGTCGGGACGACAATCCTTGCGGCCATCTGCCGTGATTGAAAGTTTTCCGTGGTTTCAATGTCAGAAGAATGCCGTACCTTTTTAACAAAGAACCACGGACCGCGCGATCTTTCCTTCCTCCACATCGCCCTATCCTCTCCTTTATTGCACACACACGTTAGCATGCACTACATTACCTGACGTTTTCGTAGTCCATTCGGGAGCTTAGAGCGTGTCCCGGCTGGAACGGTACTCCTCTGGGGGAGATATCTGGAGGGGAACCCCCCCCCCGCAAGCCGACGTTTAGTTCGGCACCAGATCTCACCATCCAGGATGGCCGCCACCTCCCAGGACATAAGATGCCGTACATTCGGATGTAGCAACGTCGGGGATTGACGATTGGCGTGCGCTTGCGTGTGGCAGGGCAAGACGCCGATGAAAATCCACGAGGACGCGTCCGGCAACATCTACGTGTCGGGCGTGACCTCGCGGGCGGTGACGAGCGCGGACGACGCCCTGGAGCTGCTGCGCGTCGGCGCCGTGTCCCGCACCACCGGCAGCACGCAGATGAACTCGCAGTCGTCGCGTTCCCACGCCATCTTCACGCTGCACGTCAAGCAACAGCGCCTCGTCAAAATCGAGGTAAAGAGCGGTGGGGCGAATGGGGGCGCTTTTATTTAACCCCCCTGCCCTCTCCCAGCTCCAAACCACCCCATCTCCTCGTCGCTACCGGCCTCGCCCAGCTCCGACCTGACAGTGCCCCTCAAGCCCCTCCTAGTGATACATCCATAGCGAAACATTGATGTTAAAAATACATCGACTAAGAACCATCGATGTTTTTAGACTAGATTAATAACCTCTAATGTACATTTTTTCGGAACTTTGACTGCTTTTCGCGTAATTTTGTGTGAAAGTACGGGCGAGAAAGTACATGCTGTTTTAGCTCCACCAGATATTTTTAAGAACTTTCACTACGATGCTCCGAATACATATCTGCTCTCTACATCGACAGATACTAAAATAAGATTTTGTAAATATGTTTATGGGCAGGCCTGAGTAGAAGAGAACGCATGGTGAGAATTACGAATTATTTCGTAAACATCCGATAAGCATTTGATGACCATCACCTAGGCCTCTCCCGGCTCCCGTTTGAGATCGAACTTGCGATCTCCGTGTCATCGTTATTCTCGATTGTCAGTCGTCTTAATGGTTGTAGCTACTGATGCTTGTTTCAAATTTCCGGTTCTAGACGAATACTCCGGTCGATTCTCAGCGAATATCGGAGCAGGATCGTAAACAGCGGCCCCATACCTCGTGTGGATCCTTCGTGCCCCCCCCCCCCTCTGTTGTCTTAGTCCGCTGTCCTCAGAATGATTCCACATCCCAAAGGATGGTTACCTCTCAGATCAGTTTCACACCTCCCAGGCCCGTCTTCATTGATTCTAAAATGCGTCGCAGTACTGTAAGTTCAAAGACGGCAAACTCAAGACAACGTTCCCGTAGAATCCCCGTAGAATCTCACGTGAAATTTATTACGACAAAACGAGTTTGCCTGCTTCACAGGGGCTAGTCCAACCCCTGTGAAGCGTCCTCAACCTAACCCTTATTCCTTCCCAATTCTGGCCGATGGGTAGATGACACTGGGCGCGTGCGAGCGCGAAGACGCTACGGAGATTCCCTGACCTGACTTGACTTGACTGACTGACTGACGCGACTACGGCCCCCTCAGAGGCCCCTAGAGGGCGCTTAACGGAAGGTTCCTCCAATGCGTTCAACGCTCCTTACGGAGTTAGACAGACGCAACAAATTTAAAATAATATATAATTAATAATAATTAATAATAATTAATAATAATATAATATAATAATAAATAATAATAATATAATAATAATTAAACTTTTAAAAAGTTGAGCGGGAGATTCTAGAGTTCCAATGTCGACGAGGACGGAGTTGGAGAAGATATCTATTGCTCCGATTGGTATTTTTCCGTGATCTTTCCGAATATCACCAGGCAAATGCCGGACGAACTCTCTCGTGCTTCTCACGATCTTTCCTTCCCCATCCCCCCCCACACACTTGCAAGAGTTGGTCCCGGCTGGAGTGTTGCCACGCTGGGGTGGATTATTGGAGAGGGAGAAAAACACACAAGTCGACGTGTAGGTCGGCGCCGGGTTTCACGGTTTAGCAGAAGGCACTGTCATCTCCCTGGATATCACATGCACTACACTACGGGACTGATGACCTCGGTTGTTGACGCGACCGCATTCAATACTCGCTCACTCAAATTCAAGGCTGTGTTGCTGTCGCGCTATAGATCAGAGAAGAATAGCGCGCACCTTGCAACATCAGGCCCTGGTTAGAGGTCCATTGATATATGATTGGGGACCACCAAAGTTCACTGGGAAGGTGCGCGCCTGCGTGAAGTTTGGTGGAGAGGCATTGATTTACTGTCCAGATGTGAACTGAGGGACCATTTTACGAATTGCTGAGTGAATCGCTTAGTTATTAAGAGGCTTACGTCCTCTAGCCCTCCAAACACCATTCTAGCATGTTCGAGGGGTTTCCTCAATCAAGTGTTCATGCTCATTAAGATACGATGTGTAGATAAAATGGAATTCTTTAAAATCAGGGTTCGGATTGGCAGAGGGGGGAGGGTAGAGATCGTTCCCATATAGAGATATTGATGTCCTACTGGAAAATTATCTCCTTGCCAGGGTGGCACGTAATCTATGTTAGGTGCCTCGTTTACGATTTACATACTTTGAAATGTTGAAATCAAGGAATCCATGTGAAGGAAATTGAGCAATACCACATTCTTGAGTGCATTCCTAGGATTCATTCAGACACTTGCTTAAGCGAAGGTGGTCTTTGTTTTACTCATCAATTGTTTCAATTAAAGTTTTTTTTAATGTCTCCATCAGGAGAAAATTTGTTAACTTGCCCGTTGCATAAACTGTTTGTTTCAGTTAATTATTGTAATTAATTTATATTTAAAATTTATTCTTTTAGGATAGTGAACCTGAAGATAATGGCATGAATGAATTTGAAACATTAACTGCCAAATTCCATTTCGTGGACTTGGCTGGATCTGAAAGACTGAAAAGAACTGGTGCTACAGGAGAACGTGCGAAAGAAGGAATCTCTATAAATTGTGGTTTGGTAAGATTCATGCTTATTTTTTTCTGAATTATGTTTTGTGTATAAAAATACTAAATTTGTTACCTTTCCAGTTAGCATTAGGTAATGTGATATCCGCTCTTGGAGACAAGGCAAAGAAGGCCTTACATGTCCCGTACCGGGACTCTAAACTTACCAGGTTACTTCAAGACTCTCTTGGAGGTGAATAATTTCCTCGTTTTTTACCTTCTGTTTATTACACTATGTGTAAATAATTGCTGTAGACAATATATTACAAGGAATTAAATCATGTCTGTAGGAAACAGTCAAACAGTGATGATAGCTTGCATATCACCAAGTGATAGAGATTTTATGGAAACACTGAATACTTTAAATTATGCCAATCGTGCAAGAAATATCAAGAACAAAGTTGTTGTTAATCAAGACAAATCGTCACGCACCATCAGCCTTTTACGACAGGAAATTCAGCAGCTACAGTTAGAGCTATTAGAATACAAACAGGTAACATGATCATGTCAATTTCTAATGAATATTTAGAGTGTAATTCTACTCATCTTTCTAAAGCTTTGTTATTTTCAGTTATAAAAAACTAATATAAGTTTGTTACTTTTCTGTACTGTTTACAATGTAGGGTAGTAATTTATTAAATAGATATTGAATTCCTTTTTGATTTTCGAAGGGTAAGAGAGTTGTTGGAGAAGATGGCACAGAAACTGTAAATGATATGTTTCATGAAAATACAATGCTTCAAAGTGAAGTAAATAATTTACGAACAAGGGTTAAAGCATTGCAGGAAACAGTTGAAGTAATAAGTACTAAAAACACTCAACTGTTAGCTGAAAAAGCGACAGGAATATGGTTGTCAGGTGAGTTCAATTCAATTTTCGAACATTCTATCAAAGAAGTGTCATGGTCATAGAGAAGAACCTGCTATTTCAAGATTTTTAACCAAAAGAGTGTAATATGTATTATTGTAATGCAGGGATTGTGGATATCTAATGAATGTACAGAGCAATTAATAAAATGCTCCTAATTATAGGTCATAAGAATGAGTATTCTTAATTTCTTATGCACCTGCATTTGCTGCATCAGTTTAAATTTTTTCTTAATTTTTTAGTAATTTCACTTAATTTAATGAATTTTCTATTGCAATATCATGTTCTTGAGAATTTATTTATTTATGGCATACATTTATTTATATGTTTGTTAGTGTTTAAAGGGTCAAGTAACACTGACAATTATTTGTGGTGGAGCTGATTACAATAGTTGTAAAAGAGAACTCATATGATACACTAAATGTATTAAATCCTTTGCCTCAATGAAACTCCTTTTGACTACCAATAACAAAAGGTTTATTGATGAACAATTTGCTGAGATAAACAATTTCATAAATTAACAACTTCATTGGAATTTTTTTTAATGAAAAAATATAATGTTCTATTGTTGTGGGAAGTTGGGACACATACAACAACTACATCATCCCAACAACAACTAATAACTTTACGTTTATTTTCAGGATCAAATTCAGATGGAACAGATATAACAGAAATGGTTCAAGGTTATCTCAAAGAAATTGAAGAATTGCGAGCTAAGTTACTAGAATCTGAAGCAACATGCCAACAGTTGCGAAAATCATCAATGAGACCTCGTGGTTCTATATCTCATGGAAATCCTTTTGACATGTTTGGAGGAGAGACATCAAATGTTACTAGTCTCATTGAGGAAGCTAAACGTGAATTAGCAAAAGAAGTTGATCGCCTATCCCAAAGCAATTATCGTGACCAGACAGGAGAGGAAAAGAAGAATGGTGTTGCTGAAGATGAAGGCAGTCAAGCAGACATAGAAAGTGATACCAGTGACACAGAAGATAAAGGTTGGATCCATAGTACAGTTTTTTTTAAATGTATTTATTATTATTATTTTTGTTTTTGAGATTTCACATAATTGTATGTTGTGTCTACATTCTTCCCAGTTGTTTGAAAATTATCAGTTGTCCTTATTGACATAATCATGTTACAAATTAAATGTCAAAGAGCATCATATGTAAAAACAATTGGTTCACTGACATTTGAGAAAATGTATGCTTGGAAATGATGTCATATAAATGAATTGTAATTTATTATTAATTTATTCCATGACATTTTTTTTTTAAATAATAGAAAAAGAAAGGATAACTGATGCATTGACTGTTTATTTTCCCCCTACTAACAGTCAAAATACAGGTGTTGTCATACACACTTCAGAATATAAATTACGTTAATCATGAGTGCTCACCATGTAAGTGTTTTCACTCACAAAAACAAAGATGTCTGGTAGATTTTGTACAGTCACAGTCCATAGTTTATTCATAATTGTTCTTGCATTGGCTTGTATTTCAGCAAGGGATACTAATGAAGATGACTCAGATTCAGATACAGATTCAGATGAGAAAGGTATTCACTTCTTTGTTTGTCAATGTGTATTTCTTTCTGCGATTGGTAGCATCATTTTAATTTTGCTGTTGCATGCTAACACTGTAGGAAAGATATTTACACTGCCACATTTTGCTATAGGTCTGTTGTTGTTGTTGTTGTTTGCTTATTCTATTTGTCTTTGTGTAAATTGTTGTATGAATAGCAATATCGCAAATGATTCTGCTTGTAACAACTTTTGAAGTGTAGAATGATACTTCATTTTGTATCCAGTCATATCAATCAAAATATTTCTTCCATTTATATATCTGCCTTCACCTCTGCCTTTCATTGAACTTTTCATCAAATGGTTGCCTTTTACTAATCTGCTTTTATTTGAATTCTTAATAAGAAGGAGACTTTTATGCACAGATCATCAATTCTAGATGAAATTTTATATCATCTAAAATCTTATAAATTTTAATGCCATGCAATTTCATTTTGACACAATTAAGAAAACATTCCTAAAAATTACCTTGAGGATTGTTAAAAGAGGATTAGTATGTTTTAATCATAAAGTTAATTCATGTGAAGTAAACTAAGAAAGAAGTTAGTATTTTAGTTTAATGTAAATGTAAAGTGATGGGAATCAGGAGTGGTGAGTAGGAGTACTCATCAGCGAGTAGGAATCATGCTATTGTTGCAAAACAAAACCTCGTAAGGTCTGGCCCACATAACAAGAGAAGCAGAGCCACCTGTGTGCTCGCAGGAGGCCCTTGCCCTTTAGGGATCAAATGCAATTATGTCTATCAATGAAATAAAGAAAGATAATGAGAAGGAAATTGATTTCATTTTAAGGTACCTGTTGATACATACTTCAAACTTATTGGATGTTTTGTAAATCAATGATTGCACAATACAATTAAGTTGTTTCATAAAAATAAGTTTTTGGAATGCTTGAGAATTGATGCAAATATTTTTTTGAATTATTTTTGTGTTTAATTCCTTTGTCGAAAAGTATATACCAAAGAGCAAAGCATGACATATTTCTAATCTTCATTTATTATTGATATATTCAGCCTCCGTTGCAATTCAGATTTATTAGAATATTGTTGGCTTTTAATGAGCTTTTTTCTTTACTGGTATAGAATGATTGGTATTTTGTTTATGTATAATTTTTAATTGCTGTACCTGAATGTAAACTTTGTTTTCAAAATGTAATCATTTATTGTTATTCACATATAACAAGGCACATTACAACTCTTGACACTGGGTTCTCTTACTTTAAAGATGCATTTTTTCGGCAAATGGCTGTTCTCCTTATCCATTTTTGCTGATCTTTGTTAATTGTAATAAAGTTCTTCTGATTATCAGCAGATGTTCTATTTAATATTGATGGTTCTTACAAAAGATGTAAACTGAAAATTATTTGAGAATTGGAAAGGAGATATTCTTTTAACCTTATTTCTGAAGAATTTTCTGAATTAATTTAGGAGGATTTTAATTTTATTCTGCTTTACCTAATCAACTTTGTCAGCTTAAAAACTAATTGTCTTCAAAGGTACAAGATTTTTTTTCTTTGATTGTGGATTTTAATTTCCTTTTATTATTATTATTATTATTATTATTATTATTATTATTATTATTATTATTATTATTATTATATTCTTCTCACCTATTTGTTACCATTTTTGTTTTTACTGTTTTTTGACAATAAATAAATTAAATTAAATTTTGTTTTAGATGATCAAAAGAAAAAATGAATGATTTTAATTATCATAATCAAATAATAATTCTCATATTATTTCAGATTCCTGATGTTTACTGTAATGTTTTCATGGTTGTATAGGTGCAGCATAAATATGAAATAATTTCTTTTAACTAAGCAAAACATCGCATTATAAAGTAATCAAATTGTAAATTGTAAAGAGCCTTCTGCTTTTTACGTACATATTAACTTGGAAACTAATGAAGACCTTATTTATTTAGGTCACAAAAATTCTCATTTTCTGTTATTATATCATATCATATTTCTGTATGCTTAGGGCATAATTACTCCTTTCTATTTTAATAACAAATGCTTGATCCTGAACATGTATTTTTGTCAATTGCATAATTTGCTAAGTGTTAAAATTGTTTGCAGAAGAGAATGAAATGCAACAACAGTATGGTCTCAAGTTGGCAGAGCTCAATTCTGAAATGAATATAAAACAAAAGCTTATCGAAGAACTGGAGCAATCCCAACGTAGATTACAAACTATGCGCCAACATTATGAAGATAAAGTACTTCAGTTGCAAGAACGAATTAAAGCAACAGAAGAAGAACGAGATAAAATGCTTGCCTCTTACTCTGGTACAAACAGTACAGGAGGAGGGTCTTCTGACAAAATGAAGCGTATTAAAGATGAATATGAGCGTAAATTGACAGATATGCAAAAAGAACTTAAGAGATTACAAACGGCTAAAAAAGAACATGCTCGTCTACTCCAGAACCAACGAGCTCATGAGAATCAGTTGAGAAATTTAAAAAATGACCTTTCAGAGATGAAACGTGCCAAGGTTGGTTTGTTCTTATTTTTATTCATATCATGTAACTATTTTTTAAAATTTTGTACTTCCATAGCAATGCAGATAATACTTCACTGCAATATAAAGTCAATGTTATGTGTTTTATAAAAACTGACTTCTGTATTCTAGGTGAAACTAATGAACAAAATCAAAGAAGAAAGTCAGAGGCATAAACAATTGGAAATGCAAAGGAATCGAGAAATTGCTCAGTTGCGAAAAGAGACACGAAAACATGAAAATCAAATTCGTTCCCTTGAGCAAGATAAGAAAATTAGAGATGCCATGATTAGAAGAAAAAATGAAGAGGTGACAGCCTTACGTCGTGTTAATAGAGGCAACCTCAGCAATAAAGCTGCAGGCCGTGTTTCTCGCAATGGTATGAGACAAATTCTTGACCAATTTCTTAGTTCTGAATTTGGCACTGAGATCAAATGTTTGGAGTAATACTGATTCTTCTTTTTACAGTATCTCGAAATATGGGATTTTTACCCAGGGTAGCAAAGCAAAAATGGCAGAAGTTGGAAAAAACAATAAGTAAAGTAGCTATAAATAAACAAGTTGTTACTTCAATAGAAAGGGAAATGGAAAGGTATCATCATTTTCATTTTGTTCACATTCCTTTTTAACTTTTTTGCTTTAAGGTAATTTAATTAATTGTGTCTTTCAGGCAACTGCAGGAACGAGAAAGATTGGGTCGAGCACGTGATGATTTACTTGACAAAATCTCTGAAGCTTCAAAGAAACAGTATGGAGATGATACTATAAAAGACTTATCAGATCAATTAGAAGTGACTAATGCAAATATAGAATACATTCAATATGTTATCAAAGAATCTCAGCAGACTATTGTAGAAGTTGAAGATTCCAAAGTAAGAAATAATAATAGTATTTGTAACAAATTATTGCATTTGCTAAGTAAAAATATGTTCTATTTAATGACATGCTATTTTTATCATTTTTTGTAGGAAAATAGTGATTCTACTGAAATTGATGAAGTTGTACAAAATATCATGGATATTGAAGAAGCAAAGTACCTGATTACCAAACTTTACAATATGAGTATAAATCAGACTTATGAGGTTGCACTTAGAGAAAGCAACATCAAAGAGACTGAAGCAGAATTACGAGAGGTTAGTAGAATGGATTTTAGAATATTAAAAAATCTAGCTAGATGTGGTGGTAAAAACAGCACCTGAACAAAAGTGAATTATATTAAAATATTATTCTGACCAAAATTTTAAAATTTCAACCGATTTCCAACTTTTGAAATTTAACCCATCATACACAAATATAAAATATGAATATTAAAAATTGTTTATTTATTAATGGGACATGCCATTAGAATCACAAATAATTATACAAAGCAAATTTTAATTTTGTTATTGTGTTTTTCAAATTTTTGTTTATCGTAAATTTGTATATCGTAATCACATTTATCATAATTTCGTATTTCATAATTGATCATAAAATTGTATTTGCATTTAAAACTTTGCATTTTTTCTCTCATCACACATGGATGACAGATTATTACATATGGAAAAATTAAAATGCTCTTTTTTTTTTTTAAACGTGTGCATTTACTCAATTTGGGCTTTTATTACCCACATTATTCTGAATGAAGCAGAATGCTTCCCTTTATAGATTCAATTGGTAGAATGAATCTATTGAAAGATTTTTTTTATGTTTTTCTAATATCCATATATTAGCTTTTGATGAACTGATATTTTGATATCAAAATTGTTTTTAAGATTATATTTTGATGTTTATTTTTACTAGCTCAAGCAACAAAACAATATTCAGCAACAGTTATTACAGCATGTGTATACAACACCAGAGCTCAGTCTCTATCCTACTGCTCCTAGCCAACAAAACAACAGTCAACTTCCATCTTCAAATAGTTCTGCAACATCATCCCGGTCTACATCACCCACTGACAAGTAATTATATCTTTTAATATTTATCCTTTAAAATTGTTTGATAGATCAATTCATGATTATTTTTTTAAATCTTGATAACTCATTTCATTGCCAACTTATCTGATTTCAAATGGATTTAGTTTGGAAATATAGTGCTAATATATTATAAAGTTATTAAAACCTTCAATTTTTCAAAGATCATTCTTTTGTAAAAAAATGTGCTGTATGAATAGTTTATATGTCAATATAGTTAAACAGCTGATAAAAAAAGTGAACTATTTATATCTTCAAAAACTGTGTTTATTTTTTCAGTGTTAATAAAAATAATATTCAAACAAAACTTCAAAAAGAAAAAATTCGTGGTCGAAAAACAAGAGGAGGATGTGAGCTTCTCTCTTTCTTGTATGGAGACCAAGGTGCTCCTGAAGATGGTCCTTCTGTGACTTTGGATTCTGGTGAAACTCCAGATTTACTGCAACCTCCTAGCAGACCTATCAACAGAGTTCCCAGTGCCCCTGGCTCACTCAAGTATGATCATCAGCAAGGACTTTTTGTGAGAGTTTCATATGTATGAGGCATTGAAAAGAAAAAATGTATCTAATGCGTTTTCTTAAAATGGAAAGAAGGAAATTCCTTTTTCTGACTCAAATTATCAAAGAGATCATAACTGTGTATCTAACTTTTACCTATATATTTAACACATACTTCCATGTACATTTTTATTGAGATATTTCTCTTGGGATATATTTTGATTGCTACTTTCTATGCATTACAGAAAAGGAGAAATAAAATTTTCCTATTGTACATTATATGTATATAAATTTGGTGGTGTAAGATTGTCTTGCATCTTGCATGAGCAAAAGTGAAATATTGCTTTTGTATTGTGGAATCAGTAGAAATAGAGAAAAATATATGGATTAGCAAATATATTTCAGGATGCATCTTACTCCTATGTAAATAACTCAATAACTGTTTAGAATTTAAATGACGTTGCAGGCTTCCGTGGCCAGTCATGCAAATGGGTCTCTTGATGATGCTATGTTGAAGGCGAGAGGCTGATGCTTCAACCATCATGTTGTGGTCCTCCTCAGAGCTGAAGTGCATCACATTGAGCAGTGCTAAGAGTTCATATAGCTATAAACTTAAATCCCAGCCATTCTGGCCTCCAGTCCAACATGCTGGTTGAAACGTCATCCTTCGACACACCATCTCTTGGATTGGATTATAATTTTCTCTTGATTTGTTATTCTTTTAGAAGATTTAGCTAGTGGATTAGAATTCACATTACTGATCCAGGCATAATATTTGATTTGTGCATATTTTTAAACGATATGCATTGAAATGAATGAAAAGAAATGAAAAAAGTGGAAGGGGGAAAATAATTTTTTTGTTCATTGTTGTGATTTTCTTCAATAACATTTATTAAATTCTTTAATAAATTGAATTTTATATGGGGAGGGGGAATTACAAACAAACTTTTTGGTTTCTCTGTCTGTTGCAAAAGTATTGAAGTGTTGATTCAGTGTTCAATTTTTTTTTCTTGTGGTGCATTAACATTGATCACAATCGTGCTGTAAAGTGTACATCATGTACTCAAAATTTTATATATTTTAGAAATTACGGAAATAAATGCTGTTATTTTTGCTCAAAGTAATGCAATTTTTCAATATTTTTCAAAATGTTTAGTGATAATTATTAAAAATGATCATTTTAATGAGTAATGATATTTTTTTTCCCTTTCAAGTACTTTGGATGCTTCAATGTTGAAGTTTTAAAATTAACAAATTTATCTAACAGCATTTTGTTATCCATCTTTTCTAAGTTGGCTAATTTTTCTGAAATAAGTAGTCAGTCACCTTGTAGAGTTTAAATATCAGTTACCATAATACTGTTGCCAACAGTATTATGTGCATTTTGTTATGGTCCATTTCCCTTTGCTTAAGAAAAATGTTCATGCTTTTCAGTGCCTTGTACATAATATTATTAGTGGCTAATTGTGCATGAATGTAACATAACCTTTTTCTTTTCCAGAACAATGACTCTCCCCAAACCAGATCCTATAAAACCTTCACCAGCAATGTCTCGTAAAGTATATGAACGACAAGATTCCACCTCCCCGCGACCAAGTCGCCGAACTCTGCAGACTAACTTGCTTGGTAAACCTGGCTCTATGTAAGTGGTCGTGGACAGAGGCACTTAAAATCTAAGTCAGTAGTTTTCAACCTTCTGTTGGTAAGAAAGTGTGGAGAATTCTAGACACAACAAACGTTTTAGTTACATTTTTGCAAAGTTGCTAGCAACTTTGAAAAAATGTAACTAAAACGTTTTGTTTTCAAAATTTAATGAAAATACTTCATGAACTGTATTGTTTTATATTGTATTTTATACTGATAAAAAAAGTAGATTCCTATTGTTTGGACACACAAAACCAAAAGGTTGAAAACTGCTCAGGGGAAAGTTTGCACCCTGAATGCATTGTCAGCAGGTGAAGGCCCACGCTGCTATCTTCCAGTATTAAAAAAATGTGTACAGTAGAATCCTGCTAATCTGATTGTCATTTTTGGGCCCCATTTTAAAGGAACATTGAGAATTTTGCGGATTTTTTTCTTTTCAAGTTGAGTTGGAGGTTGTGCAGTTCTTGGAAGCGATAATAGGAAAGAAGGAAGGATCATGCCAGTTTCATAGTTTCATATTGAAAGATTCCTTCAATATTAGCAAATAATTGGGGGAAAATTACTGATCTGATAGTGACCATAAAATATTAATTAGGTATAGTGATTCCAGACAGGATTTTGTGACACTGGGGAACAGCATACATATTTGACTTTGACTTTTAATATTATCTTATTTTATTATAGCCCTGATAATGTCAAATTGATAAATTGTATTTTAAAATTTGACCTTAACTCAAGAACTTTCCCGGACTATTTTTGTCAATTTGATGTCAAGACACCATCATATTTTACTTAGAGGTGTAAGGAAGGTGAAGGAAAAGAAATGAAATTTTTATTACTGGACAAATTGAGGTTTGCACTTGATTCTGAACAATATTCTAAAAACAAGATTGGAACAATAATAGGAAGTTTGCGAAATTAAATTTGAATTATGATAAAGATGCGTTAGGAAAGGGGTGGTGTCTCTAGAACAATTTTTTTTTGTGAAACACAGCATATAGTACAAGTACCATGTTTATACAGATTATTTTGAAATATATCTTCAGCTTTGGAACTTACCAAAAAAGAAGTGGATAAGATCCTGGAATGAAGAAATACAAGAAATCATTTTAAGCAAGAAGAAATCCTGTAAGACATTCCTACAGACACAGAAACAAGAGCACTATGTAACATATAAAAAGGGGAAAGCAAAAACAAGGAAAGAAACAAGAATAAAAAGAGAAGACTGGGGGAAATATGTAATATCAATAGAGAAAGACTTCACTTGAGTTACAAAGAGTTGGCTTAAAAATACTATGAATGCTTGGGACTGAAACAAGGGACAAAGTGAATATAGACCTAATACCAGAAACAGAGTGGATAACACTATACAGAATTGCAGAACAGTCAATGCATATCAAACATAAACATGACCTCAGATTTGGAAAATCAATCTGTAGAAGTAGTAACAATAGAAGAACTTGAACAAGTACTTAAAAAAGCTAAAAACAGAAAGTCCTGGAAATGATGAAATTATCATAGAAACTATCAAATATAGAAGTAAAAAAACTAAGTGATTTTGATTGAACGATTTAACAAAACATGAACAGAGTATCTTACTTCAACAGAATGGCCAACAGATTTGGTAACAAATATGCGTAAGAAAGGAATAAACTAGACTGCAACAACTACCGAGGGGTAACACTACTGCCAACCACCTCAAAATTATTTGCTATGGTATTGAGGAATAGAATGAATGAGTACAGTGGAAATTTCACAGGTGAAAAACTATGTGGATTCAGAAAGGGCAGAAACACAAAGGATGCTATATTCACAGTACAAACTATATTAGCCAAAAGAAATGAAAGAAACTTACTAACATGTGATAGTCATTGACTTTGAAAAGGCATATGATTTGGTGAACAGGGTTAAACTGGAAAATATTAGAAGAACAGGAAGGAATACAGAAGAAATCATCAATGGAATAAAAACACTCTACATGGACTCAAAAATCACCCTAAAAATGAATAATGGGACCATCAAAAAATCACTTCACACAAACAGAGGGCTGAGACAAGGATGCAGCCTTGGGTAACAACCTTTACAATATTTATGTCAACAGTCTCGTCAAAGAATGGAAGAAGTCGGTAAATAAAGGTATACAACTTAACAAAAAACAAACTATATAAACAGTCCTGTTTGCAGATGACCAAATAATTTTGGCTGAATCAGAAGATGAACTCCTAATAGTAACACATGAACTGAATAAAATAGAAAAGACCTAGAACATGAAAATCTTGACAAAAAAACAACAACAAACACAATGGCATTCCAAGAAAAGGGACTAAGAAGAGTGAAAATAGTCGCTGAAGAGGAAATAATAGAGCAAGTATCAATATTCAAGTATTTAGGCAATCACATTGGACTAGACTCCCAGGATCTCCAACCCAAAATTTTGGAATATAATAGAATAAATGGAATAATTAAGAGGCACTTTGGGAAGGACATGACACAAGAAACCAAATTAAGAATGTGCAACATGACAGCAAAACCAATGCTATTATATGGATCAGAAACCTGGGTCCTAAAACAGAGGCAACCAAAGACTGGAAGCAGTTCAAATGAGATGCCTAAGACACCTCGATGGCTATACTAGACTAGATTGACAGAGAAATGAAGACATAAGAAAAATATTGAAGACAACAAATATAACAGAGGAAGTTAAAAAAAACTGAAAAATGGCTGGAATGTATTAAAAGAACGAAAGAAGGAAGATTCCCAAAGGCTGCCCTAAAATATAAGCCACTTGGACAGAGAGATATAGGAAGATCAAGAAAGAAGTGAATAATGCAGAAACACCTGGAAGACTGAAGTATTTCAGGTATACTGTTGAACCAGAAACAGCTCCTCCCCCCTTGGCCTTTCATTCATCCTGCAGTTCAAGATGATGATGATCATCATCATGATGGTCTTCAGCTTTGGGCTAAATTGCTGAGGTAAATCAAGGAAAGCCTAGTAAATAATTTGGGGGCTCAAGGCATACCACAACTGTGCACATACATCCTTCTTCAACATCTGTGTGTGTTTATTTACTATTGTAAAATTTTAGATAATCTTACATTAATTATTCCAAGAAGTAAGAATCCCTACAATTTCAAATTAATAGGTTTCTACTGTAAACATTTTAATAGCTTATCAAATGCTATAGTGATTGAGTAATATTATAAAGTGTAATATTTAAAAGAGCTAATGTTAAGGTTTTTAAATAAGTATCTGCAAATATAATATATCAATTGTATTTTACAAAATTGACATCTAGATGGTTGCAAAGCTTTTTATGATTGTTTTATTGAAAATGCACTTCTCTGCATGGCTTTGTAGCATGCTAAAAGAATATTTAAGTTTTTTGTTCAATTAGTGTGAAGTGTTCTTGGAATGAACACATTCACAATGGCATGGGTAAAAGAAACATAGTCGTTATTAAAATGGAATATTTTGATTTTATTTAGGTACAACTGCATATATTATAATGCTTGTGAAAAATATTTTCTTTATAGGAACCATTCATTAGTGCTGTGATATTAAAATGAACTTCATATTGTATAATTTTGCTTAAAAATTAATTTATTAATACTTCTTCTTTGTCATTCATTTTTCCTTGAGAAAATTAGATTTTATGTATTGTTAAGGGTGTTTAAAAAGAGTGATGTTGCTTTCTCACATATTAAATTTTGTTTTTAGATAAAAAATATTGTTTTCCTTGAGGGTTTATTGTTTAATTTAATGAAATAGTTTATGTATTTCAAGACGGGAATGGAGTTGTGTGTATGTGGTAACAGTAGTTGTATATCAGCATTTTATAAATAAATTAAAAACTGGACAATTTTACCCTTTTTAGAGAAAGTCGTTAAGTTTCATATATATTCATTGTTGAAACACACTTTTGTCTTACATCAGTATGTAGCTGTGGCTTGTAATAATTGTTTTGTACACACTCTCTGCAAGACAATCTTTGTGTTGCTCAAATAATTGAAAGTAATCTTACATGACAAATGAAGATACATGGAAAGATTGCCTGTGATTCAGTGTTCATCTTTACAAATACTTGCTGATTCTTCATTTACTGCATACATTTAGTTTTGTAATTTACTTTTTAAGCTGTAGATATGAAATCAAAATAATTTTGCAGAAAACCAGTAAAAAGTATAAACTTTATTGACCATGAATTTAGAGAGTATGTTTTTAAGCACATAATGCTATGTTTAATTTTGTTTTAATGATGAATAAATGATATATTTCTCTTGATACTTCTGTTCTTTTCTTTGTTACAAAGTGACAAAAAATTTTCTTTTGTTCATTCTTCTTTCAGTTATCTGTGACAGATTTGTTTTTTAGCATGAGCATGAAGAAAATTTTTTATTTCTTATTCATTATTTAATTATTTATTAATTTTTTTTATTGATTTAAGTAGTCTAATTAATGAAATATTTTCAATATGTTATTTCTAGGCAAGGCTACAGCGGATTGTATGAAATGTTTGAGTATACCATAAAATGGGATAACACCAATCATATGGAGTTATAACGATCATATGTTTTTTGTCATTTAGAATTCATATTGCAAATTCAGTCCCTAGAAAAATAGGATAAAAAATGTAATTCGTTTCATATCGCAAAATCCATACCTCATTCATTGTTAAGAGTATAGATTTGAGTAGGTAATTATCCCTGTGCTTTCTTGTATGAGTTTATATTTGTCATTCCAAAGAAATGTAAACAAACTTAATTTGGTGAAGCATCAAAGTGAAAGAGCACAAAAACATCCAATTTGAATTACATATAAATAATGACTTCTGTGGCAAGGAATTTGCTCATCAATAGATGCAGCATTGACCAAATAAAATAATAAAAATATTGCTTTTAAATATGTTAAACAAAAATTAGATAATTAATCAATATACTTTCATATTTAAAAAAAACTTTAGTTACAAAATAGCAGAGATGCAGTTATGAAACCTGGAAGACGTCACAAAGTAATCTTTTTATACTAGTGCATTGTATTGAGGTAAATTGAGACCTTGCTACCCACTCTTGGTGAATCAACTCACCTCAGCAGTTTGTATCCTCTTGCATGTCTGTGTGTCCAGAGAATCTTTGGTGTTTGGCAGTTTTCAGCAATATCTAGTGACACACACTATTCAAAACAATGCAACATTTTCTTAAATGCTTTTACTGAATTTCAAAGAGAAGCTTTTGCTGGTGCAGAGAAATCAACCCAGCCCTTCATTATTAAATTTTGAAAATTTACTAAGAAATGAAAATTTACTACAAGAAACAACACTGGGTCTTTTTGGCGTCTAGTTATGAGGTTTAGGTGGCTCTATGGAAGAAAGCATTGATGTTCTTTTGGAAGTAAAAGGCACGGCCAACAAAAGACATCAGTAAAAAAGATTGAGGTTTTGTTGAATTTTGTAATTTAAATGCCTTTAGAAAATCGACTGAAGCTACAATAAGTAAGATTTCAATCCAATTTTAGTTTTAACCCCATTTCAAACAAACTACATTTCATGTCTGCAGTCACAGGAACTACGAAATAAAGAAATTTATACCAATTTTAATACAGACTTAAATTGTTTAAATTTACTGAAATGAATGTGGAGAAATATTACTAGAAAAATTAGTGTCGTTTGAGCTTTAAAAGACAGAACATTGTCCAAAAAATATTTCTGAAACCCCATCTCCCAATACCTTCAGAATAATGGGGCTCAATATTTGACACATCTTGCGAGGACTACACAAAAATGCTGTGCCTTACTACTAAGACAATATGATTATTAAGCAATGTCACATAAGAGAATAACATGAACTATTGTACATTTATTCAAGAAAGAGGAAGAGCATTTGTATAGAAGTAAATAATTCTTACCAACATGGAAAATGCATTGACAAATAGGGTTATCAGTTGCTGTCTGAAAAATAGGTGGTCGGTTTTGTGGGGGGATAAAAAAGGTTCCTAAAATGAAGACTGTTCAAAACTTACACTGTTGATTTATCAAAGAAGAAAGCAAAATGTATCAAATATTCAATTTTTTTTCGATATAATAATTTTTTCTACTTAATTTTGAAGTCAAGGTTAAAGTTTCAATTGTTTAGAACACATTGTTTAGAACATTTGTTATATATTCTGATTATGATTGTAATACTTAATTTTGTTTACTACTTCATTACCAAAATATGGTAATTAGAATGAGGATAGATTTTACATTGTAATTTAACTTTTTCATATTAGAGAGGGAAATACATGATCAGTTATTTGGAAAAATTAATGAAAAATTGTTATCCCATTTTATGGTTGTGTGGATTTATGTGAAAAGTGAGGTATATACTAAACAATAGTATAATAAAAGGAAGTTAATTTCATATTCTAACATAACATATAAATAATGTTTTGGTAACATTTATCTCACGTTTACAATTGAAAAAATTTTACAGTTTATTAGATAGACCTCTGCTATTATTTTGTCCTTTAATATTGATATTAATATTGCAAAGATATATTTGGAACTTTTAATAATTTCCAGTAATATAAAAAAATCAATTAACTGATTATCTCTTGTGAGAGTAGTTGATTCTTGGCATGAAAATGTCTGATTTCTATTCTGATTTTATGCTGTGAATGTTCCCAAATTTTTAACCTCTAAATTGCTCATAAAAGTGATTGAAAATGATTGTTGAAAGGACTGTGTTTTTCTTCCATGTAACCTTTCTGTTGTCTTGGCTCGCTTGAGCTAATGTGTATAATTATAATTTTAACTAGTTATAACTGGCACTAATGAATGCTAAAAGTAACCAATTAACCCCTTGGTGGCATGGCGGCGAGCAGGGAGCAAGGCATAGATGCAAGCCCTCCTCAATCGCCTCCTGCTTTCCGACGCCTGACAAGCCGGGAGGAAAATGTATTCTCTCGGCTTACATCAAGTACCACAGCCTCAAATGATCAACCCACAGGCCAGGGAATCATCTCCACATACCAGGGCAAGGTATGCTCTATTTATTCAGTGCCATCGTTATTTTAAATACTGAATATTAAATATATTCAGTTTTCTTTACAATATATATAGAGCATAATATGTTATATTCTTTCATATTTTGTTGGAGTTAAACAACAAATTTGTAATATATGCAAAAATGGAACCAAAGGAAAAAATATTAGGGGGATCCCCTTCAAATGATAACTCTTTTCAGGGATATGTAAAGTTTACAATTAATATATTTTTCTGAAAACAGATTAAATATATTAATTAAATAATACACATACAACATACACCGATATTAAAGTACAAGATACATAAAGTGTTATGAAACGCATGTAAATGTCGATGTTAAAGAATGTTCAAAACATTCAGTTTTGAGGGTAAGGAGCATAAAAAATTAAAGAAATATAAAATTGTTAGGACATACATTAGTGAAAAGTGAAAAATAGTGAAAAAATATGCAAAATGAATGGCAATGTAATGTTCTATTAACTGTCTTTGAAATTTATTATTGATATGGTTCTAGATGGAAAATGTATCTTAGAAAAATTCAATATAATTGTTTGAATTTCACTTTTCACATCTTTTATTTACAACATATGTTTGAACATTGATAACAAATTACACAAATTTGGACAATTTTTATGGTTGTTTATAGCCTTTCCCCTCTCTGTGGTTTTGGCAGTCAATAAGTTGTTAAAATTTACTAATTTGTATTATGCTGAAAATATTGATGAAAGTCCATAAGAAAATATTTTTAATTTCTATATAAAAATAAACAACACGAACTTTGATACAAAAACAGTGTATTAAGATTATAAAATTCTTAATTAAAATATAAGTAGCGTACCAATAAAAGTATGGAATAAATATTTAAAAAAATATTTCTTTGAAGGAATATTATAATAATAGTAACAATAATTAGGTATTTAATGATGGTAGGTAATGATGATAAATTAAAACAGTGATAATCACAGATATCTCAATGTTGAATACGAATACTCATCTGAATATTCCATGAAAATATTCTAAAAGGAAAAATACAAGTGTAATTGCTTTCATCTGTTATTTCATGAAAACTTATTCAAATTTTTGTTGGAAGCTCATTTCAAAATAATGAATTTATTTACTAGAGAGTTCAATTCATTTCTACACCATCTTTGGATCCAGTGATTTATGTGAATGAAGTATAACCACTTTAAACTGGAACTTATTTTACAATAGAAATGAATGAAATTGATGAACGAATGATAGAAATGAAATTATGAAATAATTTTTTATTCCTTTCTTGTAGGTTGCAGCAAAAGCACCTCTAATTTGTACCCATGTAGCAGAGGGGCATTCACGTGCTGTACTTTCAGTGGATGCCACTGACGATCTCTTATTTAGTTCATCCAAAGGTGAGATGTGTATTCCTTGTCAAGTATTGTAAAATTGTTGTTTCTGAAAAGGAGGGAAAAATATAGATAAATAAAATAGCTCTTTTGTTTAAAAAATTCCATGAGAAATTTGACAGTAGACAACCAGAAGTTTAACAACAAATTTTAAAATAGGGGTTTTCAAGTATCAACGAATGAACATATTTGTAAATGTAGTAAGTAAAAGTTCTTAATGCAGAAAATATTTCACTGATAGAATCTAATATTTCATTTCTTCAGTATTTGTTCTAAACATTCTACCCTCTTTTAGATAGAACAGTTAAAGTGTGGGATCTTCAGACTGGTGTGGAAAGACAATCACTTGGAGGTCATCCAAATAATGTGACAGTGGTGCGATATCATGAAGAGTCAAGATTAGTTTTTAGTGTCTCTTCAGCTTATGTGAAAGTTTGGGATCTTAGAGATGCTCCTACGAAATGTATTCAAACTCTATGGTATGTGTGAAATGATTATACACTTATGTATAGAAATAATTAATGTTTTCAACTTTATACCCTTGTAATTCAAATAGTCTGCATATTATGAAGGGGTCAATGATCTCTGTTAAAGTAAGTGAATGCATTTAATAACTTGTTGATTTCAAAGAATTTTTTATTGAATTGTATTTACAATATAGTTCTTCTGGGCTGTCACTTGCTGGACCAATCTCCCTTGCTACGGCTTCTCATTCATTGCATCTCCCTCCTGGGGAGTCACAATTGAATGATGTTGCCTTGAACCACAATGGAAGGGTACTCTATACTGCTTCAGGAGACAAAGTACGAGTTTGGGATTTAAGAAGGTAACATTCTTTCTAAATGAAATAGCTTTTTGAGTGAATAGGAAGTCAAGATGTTAACATTTTACCTTCATTACAGGTATGAAGCAACTGGCAAGTTAAGTGGAGGACATCAAGCAGCTATCATGTGCTTAGCCGTGGGAAAACTGTCTGAAGAGGAGGATGTTGTAATAACAGGATCCAAAGATCACTACATTAAAGTATGCATCTTATGTATCTTTCACTTTCCTGAGTTGAATCACACTGAATTTTTTAATTTAACATGTTGATTTATTATCAACTCAAGTAGATATAATTATGGATTATTAAGTTTTGATACGAAAAATAATTATTAGTTTAATGCCTTCACAAGAATGATTATTAATTTCCACATTAAAATACTTTTGAAAAATTCACCTCTCCAATAAGGTTGATTCTATCTTGGGTTACCAGACATCCTGATTTATCAGGACATATCCTTATTTTTTCGACTCTGTCCTGACTTGTTTTCCTGATCTGCTTTCCTTGCCCTGATTTGTTTTCAAAAGTCTTGATTTTTTTTATAAGTAACATCTGTTTACTGTTTAATGTAATTTTAATGTTTTTTAAAATATAAAATATTTGAAAAATAAAATTGCATTAGAGAAGAAAATGATATTGGAGCGAACTCAAGTATAATAATAAAGCTGCCATAGTCATATAATTTATTGTGAAGTGCAGAATTAACAGATACATTAATCTTCTACTCAAAGAACTTTGAAGCTATATGTAATAAAAATATATTCTGACATTTAGGGTCATGTCCTCGTTTTTGGACTCTTAAGATTCCATCATTTTTTCAATGAATTCATTTCAAGGTTTTTCAGCTAGGTGACTGTTAATCCTAATTTTATCTTTGTGTAAATTACAACTTTATTTATTTGAAATGTTTGTTATTAATATTATTTCAGGTTTTTGAAGTCAATCGGGCAGCAGCTAGTGTCTTCACACCAAAGATGAATCTCAATCCTCCCCATTACGACGGCATTCAATCTCTTGCTATTCAAGGGGATATTCTTTTCTCTGGATCACGTGATATGTGCATCAAAAAATGGGATCTTTCAAAACAAGAATTAGTTCAGGTGTGTTATTCAATTTGTTTATTAATTGACATTCATTAAATATGTACATATTGCACATTAAAGCAGAAATTAAAAGCTGACCATCTTCCAAGCTTTGAAATGTTGCAACTAAAATATTAAAAAATTCAATAATTTCTTTTCTATGAAATCTGTCAAATGTTTCTTGTTTAGTCTCTGTACGCAGACTTATCAGTTGCTGTGGGAGGGGGCTTAATGTGGTGGTTTTAAACAGTCTTTTTACTGCTTTTTGACATTCATATTATGTAAGCATAAACACAATCTAAACTTCAAATGAGCAGTTCACAAATTAAGTTAGGATTCAATAAATGTATTAAAAAATGTCTCCAAATTCCATATTTGTTGGTACTTCTTATCAGTTTAATAACTGATACAGTTGTGGGAGGCTTCAGCATTTTGATTTTCTTCTGAGTTTTGGAAACGAGAGGGCTTGAGTGGTTTGTCACCCCCACCCCCCATGAGTTATTGTAGGTCAATAAAATACACTATTCAATAAAACATTTAATAGAACAATAATCAGTGATTTAATACTTCTCAACTGTAAACTTCTTAGTGGTTGGCCCAACCCTTATACCATCTGCCAGCCATCTAATAAGAGAATTAAACAATGAGAGTAGAAAAAAATAATTTTGAAACTAATTTAATTTTCACTTTTCTTTGCAATCTCCAATTGTACATTATACCTTTCAAAAATATGTGTATTTTATAAATTATGAGCAAAATATGTTTAATAATTTGAACCTTTTATCAAATTCAGTTTTTACTGCTTTTGTTACCATTTTCATATTTCAAAGTTATTGAAGGGGTTTTATCTCTGAACAGTTGAAAGAAAAGTGTGATTGTAAAGGGTCGAGCATTTTATTCTTAATTGATAAAAAAATGTTTTCTCTTCTTGTATACTTGGCAATTAAAGTTTCATTCAATGAGTTAATCATTCGTTTAAAATTGTGCCCTTGTGCTGTTTTATTACAGTCCTTGAATAATGCCCATAAAGATTGGGTATGTGGCCTTGCTTTCATGCCAGGAAGCCAAATCCTTGTTTCTGGTTGCCGAGCTGGCACACTCAAATTGTGGTCAGCGGAAACCTGTAATCAGTTGGGTGAAATGAAAGCTCATGGTTCTCCGATTAATGCAATTACAACCAATTCATCTCATATCTTCACTGCATCTAAGTAAGTTATTAACAATTATCTACTCTTTATTTCCATATTTATTTCAGATAAATTACATACATTTGTAATGTAGGTTAGGTGTAGTCTGGATAAATATATTATTTATATTAATTGTATTTTAGCCAAATTGTTGAAGAGATGTCATCTTTTATACTCCATGTGTAATTTTAATGTATCAGTTCTTAATATTTGTCTTTTGATATGAATTATATTTGTAGAGCCAAAAAATGAATTAACAGGCCACGAACTCTTCGTAAATGTACAGTTTTCAAATGAGTTCTATGTTGCTAATTAGCAGCACAATGGTCTGGTAAAATGTGCCAATCTGGTTGCAGCTCGGGTGAGGTGAAGATCTGGAAGGCCCCACACTACTCGGCCATGACCATGTCCACAGGCAGAGTGTTTGAACTCTCGCTGTGATGAGGCCTAACTTTTAACTGCAATGCTGAGAGATGGGCGTTTTGTACTTTGCTTTGGATTGTTTTCCCATATTATTCATTGCCATCACTTTCCTCTCTAAGTTAACCAAATGAGGACTGACTATTACCTTGAAACTGAAACTATATAAATATTGCCTTGTAGTTAGAATGCAATTCCACTGAATTATTTAATTAATATCTATGTGTCCCTTCAGAATGTTAATTTATTTTTATTTATTTCTTAAAATAAAAAGTTAACTACTACATGTAGTGTACAGTTGAGAAAATGATGTACAGATTTAAAAGTGTACATTTGCTTTTAAATGTTCCTATATTGTATGGCCTTGTTTTTTTCTGAGACTTTGCAAGATAATTGATGCAAATCATAATGATATAGAAATTTAGTTTCTCAATTAAGAAACAAATCAACAACATATGCTGGACAACTCACAGAATAAAGGAACAATTAACATAGAACTATAAAACAAATTTTGTGGCTTTATGAATTTAGATGTTCTTTTAATTTTTATAAAAGAAGGAATTGAAAACTTAACTCTTCTTTTGGTGTCACGTGAAAGATTACTAAAAGAAGACTGATAATTATCACTATAAATAAATATAAAATTTGTAGGTTATAAAGTAAATTGCCAACAGATGAGAAATTTCTGTTATAACAAAAAAAAAAAAAGAATTATGAAAGTTTTTGTGAAAATCCTTTTTATGATGTGAAATGAATTTGCTTACATGGCCTTAATGATCACAATAAAAAGGGAAACATTTTCAGCACAGTAACTTCAAAATTTTAGCAGAAATGATGCAGTAAACAAAGTGACCATTAAAAAATGTGAAATAATTTCACTAAACAAATTTTTGTTTCATTCTTTTGAAATCTTTTAATTTGTATTCAAATATTTCATTGGAAAAAAATATTTAATTGGTTAAAATGAAATATTGAGACAGTGTAGAAGAAAGATCCATTGTCTTTAATCTATTGATTCGAAACGCCCATCTCTGGTTCTTGTATTTCTGCTGCATTGTTCTCTCAGTTGCAAAGAAAGTGATAATGATCACTTTCAAAGCTGGGAAAATGAAGATTTGTTGTTGCAGGTGATTGCTAATTCCTCAATGATATCGCATGACAAATGTGAGCTTGCACCATTTGTTTTCTGTTCTTTCTGTGTGGGACATTATTTTATTTTTTTGCAGATATTTCAGTTTGCTTATGTCCATGTATACATTGATAAAACCCTTCTTTATATCAAGATCAAGAACAAGAAATATTTTTATTGTAGGACAGTGTTTGCACGAGTACTTCATGTGTTGTTGTTGATCAAATGAAGTTAATGTTTCAAGTCCGTGTTTTGTTCTCTTTGCAGATAATCATATTATTATACCTATTGTTACTGTAAATGTTACCCGATTTGTAAATTAACACAAATTTTTGAAGGATTAATTTCCTTCTTTTTTTTTGTGTGTGAAATTTGACTATGCACTTTAGAGAATTGCTTCATACATTAGTTTAATAATTAATATTCAGGATTTTCTGAATAGTATCAAAAACTGTCCTACACTCCAATTGATTAAAAAAAATAATTTTCCCTTGTAAAAGTAACAAAAAGTACATGCATGTCCCCCTTAACACAACTGTTATCTTAAGTATTTGCATACAATATGTTCTTTCAAGAAGTGTTTTCCTCATAGATTCTATTTGCTTGCTTACATGTATCATGGCATTATTGTTTTCTAATTGCAATAATATAGACATTGTGGATTATTGATTTTTTATTTAATGAAGTTTGTTTTCCTTACAGTGATGATACAATACGTATCTGGAAAAGAAATGGTCGTTTTGATTATTGCTTGGACCCAAGTGGAAGTGTCTGAAGCCTAGTACCTGTCTTGCCACCTGCTGGTTCATCAGTGAAACATTCCAAGAATGTGGATGATCTCTTTATCCAGCCAGAACATGCATTCCATTTTCTTCAAATCTTTTATATTTTACTCTTAGTCAAATTATGGATATTATTTATAATAATTTTACATATATTTTTTAATATTTCAGATTTTAATAAATAACTTAGTATTTACATTGTGTTCCTTCACATTGTAATACATTTGTTTATTGTAGAACATTGTATTTTTTTAACAACATTATGCAATTGAAAATGAGAATATTGATCAGCAGTTGACAAGAGTCCCAGGTTCACTTGGGTATGATTGATATGAAACAGTATTATTTTTTGTTGACAATATTAGTACCATTTGCCACAACTTTGTGGAGCTATTATATAAGGATAAATGCAAATGTATTGTTGATTTTGTATGAGACTGTGCAAATATGTATATCTGAAGGATGAAAGAAATGTCTGAATTTCTACAGTATTTCAATATTAATTCCAGTGTATAAATGGTAGCTTACTTTCTTATTTCTCCTATTTTGTGTATTTTATTTCCTTGCAATTTTGTAAAGAATTTGTGTTATTTATTTTTGTTATTTTATATTAATAATTTAACAGTAAATGTACAAATGATGCGCCTTGTGATTATATTAAAGTCATAATTTGATACTTATCTTATGTTGCACAAACATTTTAAGACTACCTTTCCCATTTAAACTTTCTTTTGTGTATTGCTATTTTATGCTGAAGGATGAGTAAAGTGCAGTTTTCTTTTAATAATAATCTTTAAAATAGCCTGTCCTATTTTAATGAATTTATTGTGTTTTCTGTTGTGTCTCAACTTGGGTCCCATTTAAGTCTCCTAAATATCTCCTCCCTCCCATCTGATGCCTTCTGTTTTTGCATACCTAATTTATTTACATTTCCCTTATTTCTCTTCATTAGTTTTTTTAAAATAAGTTTCTCAAACATTTCCAACCTGCTGCTAGGTATAACTCTGCTCCCCCTCCCCCATAATCTCTCGCATTGATCTAAAATACTAGGACCTATTAATAAAAATAATAATTATGGTTTTGTCATAAACTACTTCAATGCACAAAATTATTATAGTGTAATATGATCTTTATTGTATTTTATGAACAGTAATTTTCTATTTATGGGTAAAATATGGCTATATTTTCTCCATTTTTTTTAAAGCACATGACATCTGCATTGCAATATCATTATTTTTCTTGTGGGCTACCTTATGGCTTATTTATGGTACTTTGGTGGGTCACAGCACATTAGTTAAAACTTTAAAAGACACAATCAACTTTTTCAACAAGAAGAATTGATTCAATAAAATTCAATACAATGAAAGATTAAGGAAAGAATTTGTAGGGAATGCAACATTAAACCATATTAAGTGAATGAGAGGTAGGTATCTTGGGCTCACTAAACTTTCTTTCCTTTGGCAATATCATATGTATGTAATAGATGTCTTGAGAAGCCCAATACTACTCCTCCTCCTGGAGTGAAAAGATTTGTAAGACCCTGTGCACCTGAGATAGTAGAGTGCTGACTTACATGGCCATATCTTGTGCTTACTTAGCAGGACAGATTGATCAAACTACTAGGTCACCTCTTACAAACTGAATAAAGTGGATGTTATTTCAATATTTATAATAACTGAATTTCTGATGCCAATGGATTCCCATTTTGTTACATAGTGCACCAAGATCACTTGAGCCAGCATTCATTGATGCCTTTTGCACTTCTTTAAAATTCAGCTCTGTGAGTCCCAACTCATTATGTACAAATGTGCCCCAGGCAACATACTACAAATCCAGAGTGCTCACTAATAAGTAGTATATTCTGAATGTCCACATCCTTTGCTCAACTCTAGTGAAAAGGGGTGTTTCTCACTAGTTTTGTAATATTTACCTAGAAATTGCAGTTAAACATATTTCCATTATTATAATTGCTATTTAAAGAAAGTATTTTTCTATTTTATTATCATAAAATATTTCATATTTTCAATAATCACCAAGTTAAATTTCTCTTATCTGGTTTAAGTATATTTTTTATTTGTATTCAGAATGACTAGTGATCTGCATTAGCACAAATACTGCTGATCCAACACACAAAATGGTTTTCTAGAAAAATAGAAAGCACACTAACCAAGAACACCAAATAAATTAGTCTCTTATAACCCTGTGATAAGTTAAATAATAAAAATGACTTCAAGAATTTTGAAGTAACGTAGTATATTATACATACAGTACAACACTGCTATAGATAACAATTTTAAGTATATTGCAATCCTACAAAACAACATGTGAATAGTGAATATTTAATAGCAACTGCCTCGTTCTTGGAGCTTTGCATGACATCAGCTGTGTTGTAAGAAGTGACTCACAAGTATGACAATTCAATTAGGCAACGTGCAATATGGGAATAGATGGAAAAGCAAAAACAAATATTTGCATTTTTCAGAGAAAATTGAGGTATATAATTTTCACTTTTCATATCTGCAGATTTTATATGAATACACGCAAATGGTTTCCTAATTCTTTCAGATTATGTTTATGATGTAGACATCAAGAGTTTCAGTGTCTTCTCACCCCCCACCCCAGCAATTTTGGTAGGAAGCAGGAAAGATAATGTTACCTGGGTGCTGATAGATTATCTATTTCCTTTATCTCTTTTAAATATTTTTATTTGATAAAATTTTAATTCCATGCAATAATTTTTTCGTTTTAATTATTTTTGTTTTTTTATTAGTTTTTTGGACAGGTACCATTTTACCTTTAGCTGAGAGACTTTATTAAAAAATTATATTAAAACTAATAAATATTATATGTGTTAATGTAAAGTGAAATTACCCCTCTAGTATTTCTAAAGCTAATAGAAACTATAATATAACATCTTACAAGAGGGAGTTTGGTGTTTTGGGGATTTATGGTCTGCCTTGTGCAGTTTCAATGCCAGTGTAATGCTGCTAGTTATAATAATATTATACCAGGGATTTTAAACTACCAGGGCAATATACTTGATGAGCTTCTGCCTCTGGGCCGCAAGTTTGGTCTCCCCCAGGGGCGGATCCAGAGCAAAATTTTGATAGCGGAAATTCAAAATGTTTTGATTGAATGTGTTATCTTACAGATTTTGTAAAATGTGGCAGGCTACACTCAGCTCATGCTGCGATACCATTCGTTTATTCAATTATTAGTTTTAATGATCATCGGAAAATATTTTTACTTGAAAGTTGCTTGACAAGTTAAAACTAATATTTGCTGAAAAATTTCAGACAGGGAAATTTACCCCATTTCCCTCTCCATGGGTCCACACCTGATCTCCTCCCAATAAGGAGAATCACATATATTGATTGTTTTAATTTGAGATTTTGTGTGAAAAAATTATTTCGCCAAGGATGGCTATATTTTCACTTTTTAATTTATTTTTTAACTCCTTAACAGAATTAAACAGAAATCAACAATAACAAAAAAACAAACATTGATCAACAAGACATTTATTGAAACATTTTTTAACCAGTTGAAATGATTAAAGTTATTTTAAATATTAAGAAAATTTCACTAAACCATAAATAGGAAAAGTTTAATAATGATTCCTTGTTGAGGAGTTCCTTGTGATCCCTGCACATTCTATACATATGTAATCTTACCTATATACACATACAGTACCACGTGCGCGAATAATTCGGCTGCAATTCATTGCAGAGAAATAGCCAGCTAGAAGTCAAAATTTTGAGTGTTGTGGAGCCATAGTAGAACAAGGACGAGATCTGCTTCACCCAGACGACCTAAGGAAGGCTCTCCAAGAAGAAAGGGATTTCATTCCATAATAGAAATTGACACAATCAGCAGGAGAGGTTAGTAGGAGTTATGATTGTAGGTAGTAATATTCTCTAGGTTATTGAAAGTGTCGCTGACAATAGTTTCACAATCTGAGGATAAATACGTACCATGAACTCAAGTTGATTTGGGGCTATTTTCGAGTTTTTTGGCTGATTTTATGCTAAAGTTGTGCCTTTGTGTACTGCTAAATGTGTGTGTGGCCAATAAAGCATCATTGCTTTCTGAAAACTGAATATTTTGCTTTCTGAAAACAGGAATTTTATCATTTTCATTCATTTTTCTTCATTCATTCCAATCATTTTTCTTGACAAATTGCATATTTCTGTGTGATGTATTCTATACTAAATTGTGCAGGACAGTAGGCTTACGAGTAATGCCCTAAAGTGGAGTGCAAAAAGCATTGAGATTAAAGTATAGAACTATTTCACATCCCGATACTATTTGAGAAAATTTGTATAAATGCGCCACGCGCCACCTCTGCTGTCAGTTGGTCGTTTGTGAGTCGAGTGAAAGGTGTATGGCAGTGGCTAAGCAAAGGGATTTATCAGAAGTTGCGCAGTAATGAAAATCGTCCTTGGACACATAGGACATTCAATTTCTTTAGTCGCTTGAACACTGAATATTCCTCGCTCTACAATTCCAAAGGGGACTGTGACTACTACGCTGGGAATTACCTTCTAATCAGATAATCAGTGACCGTTCATGTGTGCTAAATAGTTCTGAGTGTCGGGGACATTTAGGACAGACTCGCCCGTATGACAGTGTAAAAAAGGTACCAATCAGGAGTGTTTGAGGGCCAGGAATTTGTCTCAAAAGTGAGTGCAGTGAAATTTTGTATATACTTCGTATATACGGTAGCAACAAATAACCGATAAGCAGTTACTACATAACTGCATGCAATCAGTTGCAGCGCTTCATTAAATTCTCTTCAATGAAGAAGAGTTGCGTACTGTAATGTCACGTCCGATGAGCCGACGTTTCCAGTCGGTAAGAACTGATGATAGAGTTCGGCTGTGACTAAGATACCACGAGACCATTCCTTGAAGTGATTACTACAGGCTACAAGATTATAATGGCCATGTGATGACCTTTTCTGACGCCATGATTTTGGTCCTCTAATTGGTCTGAGCTTGGTGATTTATCAGCTACCGTCTTAGCTACTTGGTGACAGTTTCCAACTTCATGGGTACTGTGATAACGATGGGATGCTCACGTCGTGACTACACGGCTACACATTTCTGCTGAGGTCTTCCGCACATCGCAGTGCCCGAAGAGGTCCCACAGGTTATTAGGTAAGTAGTATCCCGTAAGTTGCACTTTAGAACATACGATCTAGATAGCCATATGCAACATTTTCGACGAAAATAAGATAATACCACTATAACCCTTCCTACATCGATTATTACTTTCTCTTATGCGTACGTATATATGGAGTAATCTACTACTACTTAGTACTTAGTAATGCTGTGGAAAATCGATTTCGAGATTTCAACGGAAATTTGGGATCTCCTGATAGTGCTTTTTGTTTCAAACCATCTGTCCATCCGTCTGTCAACATTGGCGCCCAAACTAGCGTATTTGTAGGAATTTTGCCAAAATGAACATTACAAAGCTATGAAAAGGAGAGGCCCTATTAGTCTTCCTTGTAGAACCTCGCAACTACACGAGTCCATTCCAATTCCTAAACATCGAAATTATCTTAAGTGGTTTAAGTGAAACTCCATGGCGAAATCAACTACTCTTACAGCACCTACCTGCAAGCAGCCACAGTTTGATAGATGATTAGGCCGACTATGACTATGCTTATATACTATGG